CTTCTTTTCTCCACTCACTGATATCTTAGGCATTTTCCTATCTTCTTTTCATTAATTTGCCCCATCTATCCTTTCTGCTGTCCTAGTAATTTAAACAGAAGCCCAGAATTCACTGCAGCATAATACAACTCTATTAAAGCAAACCAGATTTGATTTTTACCTTGGAATGGGACCTGAGGCCTCTTTGGAAGAGAGCTCTCCAAACCCCATTCCCACAACTGCACCAGTGATTTCAGCCAGACTGCCCTTGCATGTGAGCTTTGCTGGCCAATGCCTTTTTTCAAGATGTCCCCTGATGTGGAGCTAGAAAACAACCATAGTAACACATTCCAGGGCTGCCACATCACCACACCTTGTGGTGTCCCAATGCTATATACCATGCTCACTTCACACCAGCAGCAGTGGCATAAGCAAAGGAGACAGTTAAGTGTTTCCGATATTGAAAGCAGCAACTCGGGCCAAAGAAAGGGAAGAGTATGAGGGCAAGGCTTTAAAACTTCCCAGCATAAAGGAAATCTTGATTCTAAATCATGATGCTGTTTTCCTCATTCTATCAAACATATTCCTTCTTCATAGGGTCTGGAAAGGTCTATTATAAATGTATAATCCTACATAGCAAAGGAACATCAAACCCAGCATGCTGGGGCTGAAGAGATGTAATACATGAGATCTAGCCATCAGAAGAGTAAAACACAGGAGAGGATAAACAAGAGCAGGAAAGAGAGAGCATGAGAAAAAGAGAATAATTATCAAACAGCATACGCTATATTGAGCAGGAGAGTCCAGCACATAAAAAGCAAACACTGGGCTCTTCTCTGCTTACAAAGTAATTCTGGAGGTTGAGATGAGAATGATGAAAAACTCATTTTCAAGGTGCCCCTCAGATGTTTGGTGCACACCACCACAGATCACAACAGCTGGCTGCCATCAGCCAAATGTATCTTCCCAGAGGTGAAATAAAACTTTAATACAACCTACACCTTGCTGAACTATTCAGCCAGGCCAGCAAGGTGCTCAGTTTGTGCTTATCAAACTCGTGTTCTGTGAATGTTGCTTCATCTGAACCACAGATTGAACTCCACATACTTCTACACATAGTGGGAATACCCCAGGTAAAATACAGAGGGAAGTTTGACACAGCTTGAAAACGATCTAGGTGAAAGGCACTGTTTTGACTCCCACAGCAGGACCTTCCTCCAGAGAAAGATACAGACATGATGAGAAAGCTCATAAAATCCTCCAAGCAGCTGTGAGCAAGAAAATGAAGAAAAAGAAGAGTCAAAAAACCTTGAGAGCATGTTCATCAGGATTTGTTAAATGTCATGGTGAGCCTTGTGGAGCTCTGATCTCTTGTGTTTCCTAATGCATCCTGTGTGTGCACACAGCTGATGCATTTTCTTCTGCACTGACAGGCTAACGAGGAGCCAGATTTGACTGTGTCACAAAACCCTGGAATTCTAGAGGGATTCATAGTTCATAAGGATGCTGTGAAACATGGGAGAAATGGGAACTTCAGAAAAATAGTGTTGGACTTTGGAAAGGAAATTAACGAATCACAACATGATTTCAGTGAATGGAAAGAAAAAGACAGAATGAAACTTGGTATGGGGAAAAGATGGGTTGAGAGGGCAGAAAATTTCACAAACCTGTATGAACACCTTGCTTGTCTCTTCAGAGTGGCAATGTCAAACATTAGGAAATGACACTGTCATTCAGAAATATACCTACATCTAAACAGGAAACGAAATTGAAATGTCAGGGCATTTCGGCCAGAAGACTGGATGATCTCTAGTTGAGAACAAACACGTGAAAATGCAGCCCCAATAGCAACTGTCAGTAGCTAACAGAGCCAGCAAAGTGGTGCACTAAAACATGGGGAGGGAATAGCAGTACCTACCCCCTTTATACCCACTTCTTATACCTTATAGTATCATTTTCTTAGAGTAGATAAAGGGGATTTAGGGAAGACCTGTCAGTCAGTCTTTAATAGCTTACCAGATTTTAGAACAAATTTGAAGAAAGAATCAAAAGGAGTAAAGGGCAGACATTTACCATATGGGCTTCCTGAAGCTGCACTGTGCCAGGCTATCCTGAGAGGGGCTTTGATAAAAGTTAGTTTTTAAATTAAAATTCTTAAAATGTCTCCAGTCTTCATTAAAGTAGTTCAGCAGATGCCTCTTGGGAACTACTGAGTTCTCTGGGGGAAACAGAGAATTAGTCAGAACTCTAAGGTCTGGGTTGGTGACAGGAGAAGCGAAGATGTAATATGCTTCAGGGGGAAATATGGGGCTGGAGGGAAGATATTAGGGGAGTTCCTCAAAGATCAGTCTTTGGAGTGATCTCATTTAACGGTTCATTAATAAACTTGGCACAAAAAGTAAGAGCGTTCTGATGAAATTTGCAGATTGTACAAAGTTGGGAGGCACCATCAACACAAACGAAAATCGCAATATCATACAGGAAGAATTGGATGACCTTGAGGACAGAAGTAATAGAAATGGGATGAAATTGAACAGTACAAAATGCAAGGTCATGCACTGAAGGACTAATAATAAGAATTTCTGCTAGAAGCTGTTGGGAATGACAAAGGAGGAGAAAGACCTGGGCTTGCTAGTTGATTACAGGATAAATATGTGCCATAATATAATGCAACTGAAAAGGCAGATGCAATCCTCGGATTCATCACCTGTAATAGTGCTAATGACGAGAGGAAAATATTAATGCTACTACACAAAGCACTGGTGAGACATTATCTGAAATACAGCATAAATTCTAGTTACCCATGCTCAAGAAGGATGCATGCAAATTGGAGCAGAGGGTGCAAAGAGGACTATTACAATGATCAAGTAACTGGAGAATTTCTAAGAGGGAACTAAAAGAGTCTGCTTGTTCAGTCTACCGAAAAGATGGCTTAAAGGGACACAGATACAATTCAGGAACAGGGGATGTCCACAACAGCTGTATAAGGATATATACACGTAGGGGGTAACCCAGGAAGAAATGGCTATAAACTGGCTTTGAGTTCACATAATGTGGGAATTACAAGATGTTTCTCACCACTGGAGTACACATTCCTGAAATGACCTTCCAGCGTAGAAGAGGGGAAAAACACCCCCAAACAAAAAACTTTCTGCATGCTCTTTAGTATTAAGATACGTGTTCAGATTATGAATGCTACAACGTAACATGACATGGTGGTCACGGACAGCAAAGCGGATTTGATATTCCAGGAACATGTTGTTAGATTTACAAGTAGCCTTTTGTATTGTCCCTTTAAGGGCCAGGAAGATGGGAAGAGATGAGACTTTGCCATCCAAAAGGATGACACCAGTGAAGAGGAGACTTCACGATATGAGAAGAAACTTCTGGAGATAAGAGGTAACGAAGTAAGTATCTCAAAAGCATAAGAAAAAATTCAGTTCATATGTACGTCATATCTTGAATCTGTTTTAGGGAAAGATACTTTCAGCTGAGAACTATGGCTAAAAGAATTGATTTTTCTTCATTCTAAGAGCCCACTTGCCAGCAGTAATACGTGCTCTTTGGTTTTCACTGGAAATACATCTTCACATCAATCTATTAGAAGTTCAAAATTTCATTGTCTATGACATAAATCAGCTATTAGTACCATACAGACCACTGGAAACAGTTCCGGTTTTTACAGACTTATTTCCATGAGAAAGGAAATATGAATAAAATTGTAAAATAACCTGGCAGCGTCTGGGACTCAAATCTTTGTGCTTCATATACCAAAAAAAAAGCAGAATTTGCAAAAGGCCAGATAGAAAAAAAGAGAAAACTAAACGAAACCAAAGCCATTAGGAGACATTGCAAGAGGAGACAAGGTAGAATCATTTGAATGCTCACCCAGAAAATCATTTTTGCAAGTTTGCAGGAAATGAAGAGCTGGGAAGGAGCAACTCAGAAGCAGCAGAGATTTTTCCCAGCTGGAAGGATAAGTATTGACTGTATCATACCCAGCTACAGCATATTATACCCTCAACTTCATAAAGGCATAAAAACTTTCCCCAACATTATAATAAATAAGCCATTAAAAATGGAATAATTTAGCAACTACCACTTAGTCCCCGAGCAGGGTACTAATGATATTTTCAGTGCTGCGGCAGGGCATGTTACCTGCTTCTTAATCCTAGATGGAACTTTTCAGGAAATTAGTTTCTTCACTGAAAAACCTCACTTCAAACTGACCACTGCTACGTGTAAATTCTAATAAAACCTCCGAAACAGCAAAAATGCTCAGAAAAGTCTAGACACACTTTCAACATTTTTACCCATCTACTTTGCTATTTCTCTCTACACAATATTTTCAGTTCAAATATTGCTGAAGCACATTAAAAAATAAAATGAAAAAACCAAGCATTTTTGATATAGGTCAAGCAAAATATTTCTGATAACCCAATGCACTTTAGAGGGGGAGGGTTGATTCTTGTGTGATATATCTTTTTTTCTCCCCCAAATATCAGAAGTGTCAGCTAAATCTCATTTTATAATTTCTTTTCTTTAATCTTAGTTACTGGATGAGAAAAATCAGTTATTCAGCTGCTCTAACAGCAACAGTTGGAGGGACAGAAGGGGAGATTTTACACTGCTGGAGTTTAGACACCTAAACTGGCCAATGCTGCTTGTGCTTAGCAAATAATAATGATGAAATGAATCTTCTGTTGTCTAATGGATGCCTGAGGCCAGTGCTGGATGTCTGTAATAGGAATGCTATCAGAGCTTCGCAACAAAATTAGTGGGCAGTAAGGCTACATACACAATATATATGTGTATACAAATAGGTATATGAATATACAAATAGGTAATAGGTATATATAATTGTAGTCAAATTATCTGAGTATATGAACACACTCCTGCTTTGAAATGGTGTTCCCTATTACGAATGTTCTTGCCGATTTGAAACCTCAGCTAAATATTACATTAAGGAGTGTTCTTTAATGACAGACATAGCAGGCAGCTACACTTATTTCTTTCTGCATTGACATGATAACATTATCTCCCTGTAAAATCTTGATTCACTTTTAAGGTAGCTGGAATGGCTACTGGTGTGTAAATAAGGAAATGTAGGGCTATGCTGTATAGTGCTGCTGACTACTTACTGCTGTACGAGAATAACCTCATGCAGTTGGATTCATTTTGCCCATTTACATGGATGTGCCTTGGATGGGAAGTGTCACTGTTCTGCCTTGCCAAGCACTGCAGCTCCTGCTATGGAAACACAATGAAACCAAACAATTAGTTAGAATTATTGCTCTTAAAGAAAACTGATTTGCTTGTCTGTCTGTCTTCTAAGAAAAACTCAGTTACCGTATACCATCAACCTTGGCTTGACTGGCAGTGATTTTCCTGGGCTAGTCTGCTGGGAACCTTAAATGAACACGAGCAATTATAAACCCAAAGTCTTCAGCAATTTGTAGGCATTATCTCAGGATAATTGCCCTGAAATGTTCACGTTGCAAAGCAAAGGTAGATAATTTAAAAATCCATCTTTCTCTGTCTGCATTACGAGTTGGGCATAACACTCTTCCCTCCTACAGGCCTTGTAGTAGTATAATAAAGCTTTGGAATTGGTCCTTTGAAAATGTCTATTGCTCTCTTTTAGAAAGCAAAGAGGCCAAATCTGAGTTTAAACTTTTCTGGCTTTATTATTTTTATAAAATGAAACCTAAGTCATATTTTCTAGCACAAACAGAGAAAAACTGGAATATTAAAAGTCAAGGGAACAAACCTGCCTTGAGGAGCTCTGCACAATAACATCCGTTGCAAGAAAGCTTTCCTGCTCCCTGGGTAAAATGAGCACCCCTTAGAAGCAAACACTGGGTCTTGGCCTCCTCATGGCTGTCCATGCACTAACAAAGCTTCATATTTTCTGGGAGTTTTACTTATGAGCTCAGCTTCTGCTCTACAACTGGGAAAAACCTCCTGAGAAGTGCTGAACGTTTCTCTCTTCTCATGACTCACACAACTGCCTCATCTGTAGGTGGTTTCCTCAGTTCCTTGCCCCCATCCTACTGAGCAGCCAACTGAAATGCATTCAGTGCCTTACTGATTTAGAACAGGTCTTCCCTCCACTGCAAGGCAGGAAGACTGTTTCTGGTTTATGAGCAAAGCAGAGTGATCTCTGAGCTCCTGCAAAGAACTAGCAGGAACAAGGATGCCTGGAATGAGGAGGAACAGAAAGGTTCACACCTCCAATTTTTTTTCTTTGGCAGCTTTTAGGGAAAAAAACCCATCACTGTTTTCTTGCTTTGACATAATTAAACTACACCAAAACCCCTCGGTGAAACTGGACTTTTTCAGAGCCACAGTTTGTCTCAGTGAAGAATGAACAGTACTTCTGAAAGAGGAAGAAGAGGTCCCAAGAGCAGAAACACTTGGTACAGCAGGTCCCTAATACCTGTACCAGTACTCCAATTTATCAAAACCTAACAAGTCCAGCTTAGCATTTTCCAGGGAATTGTTATTAAAAATAAAAATCAGCAAAAATTGAAGCTGCATAAGCTCAAACAAAAGATCGGGTAACAGAAAGACCATCTAAAGGGGGCATTTACTTGAAGAAGAATTCAATGAAGTAACTGGTATGTTGGAAATCTTCAATGGATGCTTTGGGTATTCACCCAGTACCCTTCAATTTGGAGTTCTTAATTTCCTGTACAGAGTAGGAGAAAATTCAAGGATAACACTGTGCTCAAGCAAATACCCCTGCAATATTCTGAGTTCCCACAAATTCTGTTGAGTCTTGATTGCACTGGTCTTGGGAGAAAACTTGAATTTGAAAGACTGATTCAGTTCATTCCACCACTCACAGCTCATCTGTGAACACCATGAGAAAATTGGGACTTCAAAACTTTCTGCCTTTTGCATCCATATCCCTTTCCTCTTCTCTCCCTCACTCACTCCATTTTTCACGCTCAGCTTATACTATAAAATTGCAAAGTACCAATGTTGACATGCTCCATCAAACCATTTGGGAGCCAGTAACAGTCACACCGGCTCACAATTACATATTTATTGAGTTTCCTTTTGAAGCAGGACTTGCTCTCGGGCAGGACTCCATTCTGTGCAGTGGTGGAAGACTATAAAGCATGATGGAGTACAGGGTGTCACCAGCTGTGCCAGACACATGGCCATAGCAGACCAAAGGGCAGCAGACACGTATTCTCTCCAGTACTATCCATTGTCCACATCCTCTTGTATTTATAGGTCCTGGAGAGTTGGCTCTTCTTAAAAACAATCGAGGCACAGAGAACAGGGGAGAGGAGAAAAGGGGAGGTATCAGCAAGAGGGCCAGCTGAGTGAGGTTGGTGACCTGATTTCAAGCATACTGGGGGTACTCTGTGACCCCTGTAATTTTACTGCCTCCTGAGTTATCACTTGTGATTTTCAGTGGAGTGAAATGATACATCAGGGAACAGTAAGGATTCCAGCAGCCCACAGACAGGCAGAATACAAAATATCTACCAAAACAGCTGCCATACCTCTGGCAGAGATATGTGTTTAATCCTCTTGAATGGAGACTCCAACTACCTATCCAGATCCCCCAAGGCTTTGTTAACTGAAAATGCTGGAGAAGGGACCTAATGTTCACAGCTCCCCAGGCTTCTGTAACATAGCCCTCAAGGAGATAATTCAGATTCAAACCTCCTCTCGGAAGTCACAGAATGGAGCCTGTGCCCCATGAAGACCTGTTTTCCTTAATGACCATACAAGAAACCCTTGCTTGCTCCAATGACACTGTGCTCAGTGGAGCCCCACCAACCAGCAAAGGTTTGTGATCTCAGGTAGTTTAGGAGCACCACAGTGCCTTGGCAGAGACTGGACCGTCTCATTTTAAAGGAAAACATTCATCAAGAACTTGATGTCAGAAGGAACCTTTCCAGGAAGAGTAATAGAAACAGGACACATATACTCTCTTTTGGGTGGAATTTCAACTTGCCCAAAAAAAAAAAAAACAGTTTTCTGCAGTGTCTGACAAAGTCTTTAAGTTCATCATGGCTACCTTAAAAAAAGTAAAAGAAGGTATAAAATTTAAAATATATGCCACAGTCTCCTTTCAAGTTAAAAAATGGTACCTTTTTTAAAAACTAGTGAAGTCCTATTTCATTTCTTGTTGGAAAGGGGAAAATAGTCTTTATTTCAAATCAGTTGAAAAGAGCAAAAGGTAAAGTGACAGAACAGAGAGGGTTATATACACTTCCCTTTGCACAGAGAAAAATGCATTGAAAAACTTTAACCAAGACACTTCTAGCAAGATTTCTTGCTTCAACTGAAATGCATTTTCTATTTTAAAAGTTTAGGCAAGGAAGTTTTGACTGAGTGCAGTTTTCACACACCTTTCAAAAACTGCTACAAGCTGAACATGTAATTCCAAATCACTCTAGAAAAAGTCCTATAAAATTATTATCAAATAAATACAATTGTATAGTAATGACAGGAAACCATCTGTGAAATTGACTGGAGAATTAGTTCCCTGATAGCAAATGCAGACGGCAAGGCAAAAAGTGCTGTAGAAGTTTGTCCCCTCCAAAATGTGAACATTTTTAATCATTCAGTGAAAGATTTCTTTCTTTCTAGTGGATTAATGTGTGAAGAGTCTCTGCACCAAAAGTGTGTGCTGAATGCCTTATAATTTTTAAAGAATAAATTCAGTCCAGTGATGGCTTCTTTCTTATTCAAGTGTTTGTAACAAGAGTATTATCTGAATGCTGAGCTTGCTGACATGCTCGCTAATGAATGCTATTGCGAGGCAGTTTGTAACACGGGCACCTGTTTCATCCATTCCCCTGTTTTTCCAACAACAGATTCCTTTTGTTCCAGCCATTTTGTTCCATTTTGTTTCACACCACATAACAGCAAGTGGCAAGAGGCCAGGTCTGAACCCACGATCTACAGCTCACCTAGGATGGTTTAAGCAACTCTGATGGCCTAATGCTGCCCACAGGGAGTAATTGCAGGGTCTGAAAGGAGGTGGAACAGATTCTTTCATGTCCCACACAAGCAGAAGATCAGATGCTACTCTACAGAGCGCAGGCCATGGGAGCCGTCAGGCATGCAGCTTTATTGCAGTAGTTGGCCCTTCAGATTGCAACTAAAACCAAGGTTGCTAATACAAATTTGTGTGAACTTTCCCTCCCTCCTGTTCCCTCCATTGGCCTTACAGAGCCTTTTGGCCATTTCAAGTTAGAGCCTTAGGGTTTAATTATTAGTATGACAAGGAGAGCTTTCACAGAGGTGAAGGGAGAGTGCAGAGGTGAAGTGGCTGGAGACATCCTGCCTCAATAGGGCACAGGCAGCAATAACGCTTTCCAGTTTCCCAGCTTAGCTGGCTACGCTTTCACAAAACAGCTGGCCCATGGTCCTCATCTACCTTCCATCTCCCAGCTCTTTTTGGAGGGTGCAAAACCGCTTTTGGGCCAGGGGCCCCACTGGGATTTGAATATAGAAGCACTTATAGTATATGCAAGAACACCGTGGGGAGCAATAGGGAGCTTTTTATGTGCATACATGCATGTGTATACATACACGTGCTCCCTGGGGCAGAAACCTCTTTAAGTTCTTTCAACCTCTTAGTGCACCTTTCTGTTTGGATCCTTTAAAAAGGATCTAAGACTTATGCTTTAGAATTTGGCATAAGATAAGAAACAATAATCAACATAATTAGTAGGCAACTCTCCTGTCACCCCTACATGCCATTTTACACGCTACTTGCCCTTGCAGTATTACTGTATGTACCAGACAAACCCCCACTATTTCATTGCCTTAAACAGGAAAATGTTTTCAACTCCCCTACGCGTTCTTGCTTAGTTCATGGCTTGATTTAATTTTACAAGGCAAGAGCTGGAACAATTATCTGATTCTTCATGTACAGCAGGCTTTCAGTGGTCATTTCTGAAGTTTTACTGGTTCATAACCTCTGTAATCAGAAGACCCAGTTTAAAAAAAAAAAAGAAACTAAGTGAACAGGCAGGAATCTGTTCATATTATCCCTTCCTAGCTGTCCAGGCTTTCATCCTCTTTTCTCCCACACATGCCCTTATTGCTCTGCTACTCACCCACCAATGAGGGTCTGTCAATGGCAGTGAGAGGTCAACATCAAAGCACTTTTACAGCTAGCAGCTTGCAGCTAATGCTGGCATTATGGAGAGAAATAGAGAGAGAGAGAGAAGCATAGGGATTGAATGAATGGCCCTCTCATATAGAAAGAGACC